TCTGGTGAGCGCACGCGCCCTATAGCGAAAACCTCTCAAAAAAAAAAAAAAAAAAAAAAAAAAAAAAGGCTTCCTCTCTCCCAATGATGAATAGGGTTTCTATGAGACAAAAATGGAGAAAGGAGGGATTATAACCATTGAAAAAGACATGGTGTGAACAGAAATGGGAGGGGAGTTTAACAGAGTCAAAAACTTAACTTGGAGTAGACACTTCCTAAGAATGTGCTCTCCAGGGTAGGACGAAGGAAAGCACTCAAGACTTGCATGGTGAAGCACCCCTCCCCCCACATAGGTATTAATACCTACTGTGTACGAATCCTGCGCAGGCTCTGAGAACGCAAGGATGAATAAACCAGCTCCTCCAGGAGTCCAGTCTGACAGGGCATGTGTGTGGGTATGGTGGGGAGAGGAAAGAAGGATCCTATGGTGTGGGGGTTAGAGTTCGAGATTAGAAAAGAAAGTTGAAAAACTAAATAGATGGTAGAAACCAGATATGAGCTGTCTTCTGTGGCATAAATCTGCCCCAGAACCTCTTTTAAAAAATTAGACTCATTTACCAAATTCGGCCAGATACCATGGTCTGGCCTTCTCCAGATGCCCTCCGGAGTAGGTTTAAAAACCTTACGGCTTCCAATCCTCGCTTCCCCTCCCCACCGCTAGGGCAGCAGCAGGGGAGGGGCAGGTTGAAAACTGCACTTTCTGCAGCCTCTGCTCGCTGCAGGAGACCGGAATCCAGGGCTTTGCCGTCGCCACGGCAACCAGGAGTTCGTCGGTTCTCCCCCCCCACCCTCCTCCAACTCCTTTCACTTCCCCCGCTCTCAGGGCCGAGCTGCCGCTTCTCTCGCGAGATTTGCGAGCCGGGCTCAGCAGCCCTACGGTGATCTCACCCGAGACTTGGGGCTGGCGCGGGGGAGGGAGGGAGTGAAGGAGGGGAAGGAATGGGGCGGGGACGCGGGGAGGCGAAGGGGGGGGAAGGGCGAATGGGGGGGCGCCCCCGCCGGCAACCTTTGGGCGAATGCGGCGTCGCCACCGCCGGCAACTTTGTGAGCGAGTTCAGTGCGTGCGTGAGCGAGTGAGCGAAAAGTCAGTGCGGCGCCGAGTCCCCGGGAGGAGGGTTCCCGGGGAGGGCCAGGTCTGGGCCCTAGAGGCCGCCCCCCAGCCACTCCATCCCCTCCCGCCGCCCGGGCCTCCCCC